AAAAATCCAAAGTGGAAATGGATCTTTTATATACTTATTTTACTCTTTAGAAAAGATTTATTTATTTAACTCCATTTGTTATTATCTTTCTAAAAAAAATTGACAAGAGAAAAGATAAGCAAGAAAGCAAGCCACCAGATCTGGGACTAGAACTGCAGTTGGCCATGTGGGAATCCAGTGACTTCAACCACCATGTTACCTACCAACTCCAGGATAGATCTTGAGATGAAACTCAAGAGATCTGTGGAAATCTAAACCTCTGAGAAAAATGAAGTCAAAAGCCAAGTAATTGATGGAGTTTTTAAGCATATTTGTCATTGCCAAGTCAAATGATAAAGAAAATGTGGAGGCAGCTGTCTGTGAATTCTGGATCTACCCAGAACGTCCTACTCTACAGTGCCTCCAGCACCTGCCTAAAGAGTTCTTGATTTCTGATGTTCAACTTGATGCAAGTTAGTCTATTGGTATGTTATATATCTATATATTTAAAGACATTTTTGCTATAGGGTGTGTGCCCTAGCGAGAGAGACAGAGAAAGTGAGAAATCACCCTCCATTGGGAATGACCATCCCGCAATCTCTTCTTCTCGAATTCTCCTCTTGGGATTTTGGGCACGTATGCACATGTGCCTGGCATGAGTTTTAGGTTGCCGGGTACAGAACTTGAACTGTGGCCAATTACATCAAAGTCCAGTGACATAATCATTACACCATTGACTGGTCCCATCTATTGGTATATTCTACTCAAGACTATTCAAGGAAGGCGTTCTGGGAAGTCTACGTCCAACATTGCTCCACTATTGATGGAAAACAATACTGAAACTCACCTCCGTCAAAAGCCCTGCTGGGGGCCAGCAGTTAGCATACTGGCTATGTTGCTGGACTCCCATGTAGTCAACCATGGTTACAGTCCGAGACCCAACGGTTTAAACTCATACAGGGCGCGTGTGCATGCATGCCCAAGATCCGAAGCGAAGGGCGTCAGATGTGGCCATCCCCCCTGGGGGGTGATTTCTTGCTTTCTATCTCTTTCTGGCAAGCGCACACACCCTATAACAAAAACCTCTCCAAAAAAAAAAAAAAAGGGGAAAAAAAGAGCCCTGTTAGAAAAACACATGGCAGAGACCAGCAGTTAGCATAATGGTTATGTCACTGGACTCCCACGTAGTCGACCGCGGTTCGAGTCACGGACCTGGCAGCTTAAACTCACGCCGGGTGTGTGTGCATGCGTGCCCAAGATCCCGAGAGGAGAATGGAGAAGGGATTGTGGCATGACCATCCCCCCTGGGGGGTGATGTCTTGCTTTCTGTCTCTATCTCTGGCAAGCGCACGCACCCTATAGCAAAAACCTCTCAAAAAAAACAAAACAAAAAAACCCAAAAAACCCACTTCCTATTAAATTCATACAATATTGCTCACATAGCACTTACAGATTTTTCTCAACATTCTTTCCTTCTTTAGTTTTTGATATAGGGCATGTTTACTCACCCAAGACAGAGGGAAAGTGAGAAATTACTCCCCAGATGATGGCCACACCACAATCCCTCATTTTCCTGGGATTTTGGGCATGCACTCACATGTGCCCAGTGTGGTCTTACAGCCCCTACGTTTGAACCACAAAGCTGGTCATGTGGAATAAGCCGTTTTAACATCCACAATACCAGCTGGCCCCTCAATGTTTCAAGAGTCACAATTAACATTCAAAGTCCACTAATCCACTTTAAGAACAAGCTACTGAATACTAGTTATAACTTTAGTAACATTTCCCTTACACTATGTACTTTCTGGAATATTCTTTATTATTTTAATTTTTCAAAAAGAATTTGTTCCTTTACATTTGTTATTATTTTTAATTTTGACCAGACAGAGACAGAGACAGGGAAAGTAAGAAACAAGCTTCCATGTGCTTTATATCAAGTTTTCTTCATATGTTCTGTGTGGCAAAGGCTATGTGATAATGAAAGGATTTTCATATTCTTCATTAGGTTATTTTTGGTGTTGTTTCTTTTTTTTCCCCCACAGAACATGCAGCTCATTGAAAGAGAGAGAAAATGAGAGGGGAACTGAGAAATCACCACCCCAAGGGGCAATACCACAATCCCTTTTCCTCCACTCACCTCCTACAATTTTTGGCATGCATGCACACATACCCAGCATGAGTTTTAAGCCATCAGGTTGTCTGGCCCTGAGGAAGTCCAGTGCCTTAAAAGCTACACCACCTGCTAGCCCCCTTTACTTAGGTTCTATCTCTATTGTGAATCCTTTCATGTATTTGCAGAGAACTACAACAATGGAAGGCTTTCCCACAATTCTTACACACATATGGTTTTTCTCCAGTATGAATTTTTTCATGTATTCTCAAGTGATGGGAAAAAGTAAAGGCTTTCCCACATTCTTTGCATATATAACATTTCTCCCTAGTGTGAGTTTTTTCATGTATTTTTAATCCATGGGAATGAAGAAAGGCTTTCCCACACTGTTTACATTCATAGTGTTTCACTGTAGTGTGTGTGTTTTCATGTTTTCGAAGGGAACTAGGAAAAATAAAGGTTTGGGGACATTGCTTACATTTATAGGTTTTTTCTCTCGTGTGAGTTCTTTCATGTATTCGAACAGAAGTTGAAGAAAAAAAGCCTTTCCCACATTGCTTACATTCAAAGGGTTTCTCTCCGGTGTGAGTTCTTTCATGTTTTCTATGATAACGGGGACAACTATAGGCTTTCCCACATAGCTTACATTCATAGGGTTTTTCTCCGGTGTGAGTTCTTTCATGCTCACGGAAGTTACTGGGCCAACTAAATGCTTTCCCACATACCTTACACTTATAAGGTCCAACTCCAGTGTGCGTGATCATGTGTCTTTTAAGATGTGAGGAACAAGCAAATGCTTTCTCACATTGCTTACACTTATGGGGTTTTTCTCCAGTGTGATATCTTTGATGTAATTGATAGGGAAAGGCACGACGGAATGTCTTTCCACAGATCTTACATTTATAGGGTTTTTCTCCAGTATGGGTTCTTGCATGTTTTCGAGCATCACTGGGACAACGGAAGGCTTTACCACACTGCTTACATCGATAAGGTTTCTCTCCAGTGTGCGTTCTTTCATGGATTTGCAAATAACTAAAACAAATGAAGGCTTTCCCACACTGCTTACATTCATAGGGTTTTTCTCCAGTGTGAATCCTTTCGTGGATTCGAAAGGAACCAGATTGAGAAAAGGCTTTCCCACATTCCTTACATTCATAGGGTTTCTCCCCACTGTGAATCCTTTCATGTATTCGAATGTAAGACAAGTTATTGAAGGCTTTCCCACATTTCTTACATTCATAGGGTTTCTCTCCACAGTGGTTCTTTTCATGTATTCGAAAGGAACACAATTGCTTAAAGGTTTTCCCACATTCTTTACACTCATAGGGTTTCATTCTACTGTGAGATCTTTCATGCCTTTGAAGGTAACTGGAAAAAACGAAGGCTTTTCCACATTGTTTACACTGATGGAGCTTCTCTCCGGTGTGAATCCTTTCATGTATTCGAATGGAATATACATCGCTGAAGGCTTTCCCACATTCATTACACTTATAGGGCTTCGCTCCACTGTGAGTTCTCTCATGTTTCTGAAGATATGTGGAACAACTAAAGGCTTTTCCACATTGTTTACAACAATGGACCTTCTCTGTGTGAGTTCTTTCGTGTATACGCAAGTAACAGGGAAAATCAAAGGCCTTACCACACACCTTACATTTATAAGGTTTGTATCCTGGGTGCAATACCATATGTGCTCGAATATCTTGGAGACAAGTGAGCTCTTTCCCGCATGCCTTACATCCGTAAAGTTTATGTCCACTGTGAGTTTTTTCATGCTTTTTAATGGAAATAAAACAATGAAAGTCTTTACCGCATACCTTACATTCATAGGATTTCCCTACCATGTGAGTTTTTTCATGTAATTTAAATAGACTGAGATAACCAAAGGTTTTCTCACATATCTTACATGTGTAATTTCCACTTCCACTATGTGTTTCCACGTCTCTTCCCACACATCCAAGAGAAGTGAAGGGGTTTCCAGGTGGCTTACGTTTACATGGCTCCTCTGCATACTCCTGACACTCATATACTGTCTCTTCTCCATGAGCTCTGTTGCACCTACTGACAGATAAATGAACGCAGCCTTCTGTACAGGCAGGGCTTTCACATGGTTGAACTCCAAGAGGCATCTGCTCATTCAAATTGTCTGTAACATGACTAAGAGTTTCTCCACAGGGACTTTCCTTTTCTTTTCTTTCACATAATCTCTGTATTACATGACTTCTGTAAAGAGCAAGAAGCACATTACTATGGATTATAGGATTAGGACTTAGACATCTATTAAGAAATGAGTACATGGGACTGGCAGGTGGTGCAGTGGTTAAGGTGTTGGACTCCTACATGGGCCACTGTGGTTCGAGTTCCAAACCTGTTGGCTTGCTTTCTCACTTTATCTTTCTCTCTATATGTCTTTCTCTGGTCAAACTAAAATAATAATGATAAAAAAAGTTAGTAGTTTTTTTTTTTTTTAAAGAACAAAGTTTTTTTTTTAAAGAAAGAAGTACTAAACATTTATTGTTATTTTTATCAGGTAACATATAGGATTTATACACTGAATTGACTTTTTTTTTCTTTTCTTTGGAGAGGTTTTTGCTATAGGGAGCGTGTGTTCGCCAGACAGACAGAGAGACACAGAGATAGAAAGCGAGAAATTATCCCCCAGAGGGGATGGCCTCACCGCAATCCCTTCTCCTGCATTCTCCTCTCGGGATCTTGGGCACACAAGCACATGTGCCTGGTGTGAGTTTAAGCCACCGGGTCTGGGACTCGAACCACGGTTGACTATGTGGGTGTCCAGCAACATAGCCATTACGCTAACTGCTGGTCCCTAAACTGAATTGACTTTTTAAAATGGATTTGGGGCCAGCAGATACTGTTACAGTTGAGGTGCTGGGACTTTCACTTGGCTGACTGAGATTTGAGTCCCAGACTTGGCACTTTCGCTTTTAGCATCTTAAAATAAATAAATAAAATAAAAAAAATTTTTTTCCTGTTTCTTGTTGGCTTTTTTAAGAGAGATTTTTACTACAGGGCATGTATGGTTGCCACAGACACAGAAAAAAATGAGAAATCATCCCCCAAGGGGTATGGCCACACTACAATCCCTTATCTTCCATTCTCCTCTTGGGATTTTGGGCATGCAAAGACACGTGCACGGCATGAGTTTGAACCTCTACGTCTGGGACTTGAACCATAGTTGGCCATGTGGGAGTCTAGCAACGTAACCATTACACTATCTGCTGGTGCCAAATTAAATAATAAAAAAAAATAAAAAAGGAAAGCATGGATTTTTATACATGTTCTGCAGGAGGCCCTACTACAGTGACTATCAAAGAAGTGACATCAGGACCAGCACTTAGTGTAATGGATATGTCACTGGACTCCCAAGTAGTGGTCTGCGGTTCGAGTCCCGGACCTGGCAGCTTAAACTCACGCCGGGCGCATGTGTGTACGTGCCCAAGATCCTGAGAGGAGAGTGGAGGAGAAGGGATTGGCCGTGTGACCATCCCCCCTTGGGGGTGATTTCTCACTTTCTGTCTCTCTGTCTTTGTCTTTGTGGTGAGTGCACACTCCCTATAGCAAAATCCTCTCCAAAAAAAGAAAATAAATAAAAAAGGCAGTGACATTGATATGTGGTTTCTCAATACTATTTCCAAGTAAATTATTTTGCAAACTTTGAACAGTTAAGTATACATTTTTAGACAAAGTTTGCTGGGAATAAACAAGCCCAAATATAGGTTCATTCCTTTTGTCTGTCTTAAAATTTCATGATACCTCCTCTAAGTAATATTGCTTTCTTTCATGAGTGCAAATTACCTTAGATTTTTCATGGCATTTGGATACTGATCTTCTGAGTTCTGGTCTTCCCAGTTTCTCCCTAAAATGTAGATCCAAAAAACTGTATGAATAATTATGAACTTATGGAAAATGATTAGACCTGACAGTGACGGAACAGTGTGATTATGCCAGATTTATTAGCAAAAATGCTTTTTCCATGTAGTATATCTGAAAAAAGCCATGATTAGAAAACACTTGTACTTTAATTGAGTAAGTGAAGAAATGTCATCATTCTTACCTGTACAGACCAGATTCCTGATGATTTCCTGCATCACATCTCTGTAGAGTTTCCTCTGTGAAGGATCCAGTAAAGCCCATTCCTCCTGTGTGAAGTTCACAATCACATCCTCAAATGCCACTGAGTCCTGCAACATCCCACATATGAGTAGAGGTGGGTCAGAATGACAGTAGTGGGAATCTAGACTCAGTTCATTAGATATTCATAGGATGGAGTGGATTGCATTCATTCATTCTATAGGTTATCAGAATTCATTTTTGTCCATAATTATTTTCTCACAGATAGTCAATATAATGCTAAAATTGGCATGTTCAGTTAAAGAATAGCAAAATTCAAACATTCAGTAATACTTTTTCGGTATTTGAACTGCAGTCGGTCATGTGGGAGTGTCCAGTGCCTTATCTACCATGCCACCTGCTGGTCCCCAAATCTTAGAATAAATTAATGAGTGAATGAATAAATAAATAAACAAAAGATTGCCCTATTAACAGACTCATCCAAAAAGGCTGGGAAAGGTGATATTTTCGCTTCTCTTTGTTTTTGTACACTGTGTTATTAACAGGATGCTTGTAAAAACATTGCCTATATATAATCTAAAAGAACACTAACTTTAGCGAAATACACATGAGAGGAAACAAGGCCTAAGGAAAAAAGTGTGTTTTTCTATTAAAAAAGTATTTATTTATTTAATTCCATGTTGTTGTTGCTGTTATTATTTTTAAACTGTGACCAGACGGAGAAAGGGAAAGTGAGAAAGCAAGCTGCCCAGTCTGCCACATGGGAATCCATTACCTTTAACCACCATGCCACCTGCTGGCCAAGGAAAAACCCTTCTTTTTTTGCTATAGGGCACGTGTGCTTGCTAGAAAGGCAGAAACAGACAGAAAGCAAGAAATCACCCCCAAGGGGTGATGGCCACAGGGCAATCCCCTCTCCTCCATTCTCCTCTCGGGATCTTGGGCACGCAGATATGCATGCTCACTATGAGTCTGTGCCACCCGGTACAGGACTCAAACAGCAGTCGACTACATAGGAGTCCAGCAACACAGCCAATACGCCATCTACTGGTCCCAGATAAAAACTTTTTAAAGAATATTTACCATTTATTAATTCATTTAAAAAAATTATTTTATCCTACTTCATTTATTTATTTAAACTTGACCAGAGAGGGACAGAACGTGACAAAGAGAAAGAGAAAGTGAGAAAACAAGTCATCAGGCCCAGAATTTGAACTACGGTTGAGCATGTGAGGAGTCCAGCTCCTCAACCACCACCCCACCTACTGGCCCCCACTCATTTATTTTTAATTTGACCAGAAAGACACACAAAGAGAGAGAGAGGGAAAATGAGAAAGCAAGCCACCAGGCCTGGAACTTGAACCATGGTTAACTATGTGGGAGTGTCCACCGCCTTAACCACCATGCCACCTTCTCGTCCCAAAAGACAATACTTAAAAAAAATTTACCAAGGGCCATCAGTGGCAAGGAGACTAAGGCGCTCATTGGTGAACTGTAGTTCAAGTTCTAGACCTGGCAGCTTGAAATTCATGCTGGGCAAGTGTGTGTGTATTCCACAAATCCCAAGAGAAGAATGGCAAAGTGAATGCAGCGTGGCCTTTCTCACTTTTTGTGTCTCTGTATCTCCATCAAGCGCATGTGCCCTATAGCAAAAATCTCTTAAAATTTATAGTGTTTACATTTGCCAGAGAATTGAGAGAGAGAAAAAGAAATAGCACCTTGACCTAATGGGACATGGTCAGGTCACTCGCTTTTGCCACTGTCTCCCCCCTGTTGGGATTTTGGGAATGCATAAACATTTTTCCAGAATGTTTATGAAGCTCCTGGGGCTGGAATTTGAACAGCAGTGTACACCACGTGGGACCCAGCTCCCTCAACCACTAGCCCACAGGGTCAAGTCTCTGAAAAATAATCTTAAAAAGTCATTAAACAGCAGCTAGCAGGTGGCGTGGTGGTGGGTGCACTGAACTCCCAAATGGAAGAACATGATTCAAGTTCCAGACCTGGCAGTTTGCTTTCTCACATTCTCTTTCTGGTAAGCGCACATGCCCTATAGCAAATTAAAATAAATCAATCAATTAAATTAATAGTTCAAAAACAAACAAACAAACAAAAGTCATTAGACAGGGTCAGTTAGTGGCATGATGCCTACTTTGACTGGATCCCATATTACCAACTATGTGAGCTGAGACTTGGATCTGGTGGCTTGAAAAATACATTAGGCAGGAATCAGCGGGTGGCATGGTGGTTAAGGCACTGGACACTCCCGCATGGCCGACTATGGTTTGAGTCCCAGACCTGGTGGCTTACTTTTTCACTTTCTCTCTCTGGTCAAATTTAAAAGAATTAATGAATAAATAAAGTTAAATAAATAATTCTTGGATCAGCAGTTGGCATAATGGCTATGTTGGTGGACTCCCATGTACTCAACCACAGTTCGAGTCCTGGACCTGGTGGCTTAAACTCACGGCAGGTGCATGTATGTGCGTGCCCAAGATCCTGAGAGGAGAACGAGGGAGAAGGGATTACGGCATGGCCATCTCCTCTGGGGGAGTGATTTCTTGTTTCCTGTCTCATTGGTGAGCGCACACGCCCTATAGCAAAATAGCTCTCAAAAAAAAATATATATATATATATACACATATAAATGAAAGAGAGAGAAAATAAAATGTTGGGTCAGCAGTTGGCATTGAGGTTAAGGTGGCTGGATCTTACATGGCTGAATGCACAGTCAAGTCCTGGATCTGGCAGTTTAAAAAACACACCAGGTCCACGTGTGTCTAAAAGTCCTGGAAATAAAATGGAGAAGGTATTTATGTATGGTTACTCCCTTGGGGCAGAATTCTCACTTTCCCATTACCATTCTGTTTTTTTTTCATCTACTGTTCGCACACTAAAACTAAAATAAAAGAAAAATGTAGTAGACATATAGAAAAGTAAAACCTGCAAAACCAAGGCTAGTGGGACAAACCCTATAGTTCAACAGCAAAGCACTGGGTATTAGGTTTCTATATCCCACATGGCTGATGGTTTGAAACCTACCCCTGGCTGCTTCAAAAACATGTTAGGCTCACTTCCCTGTGTTCCTCAAAACTCCACAGCACAGAGAAATGGAGGAAAAGAGACTATGGCATGACCATATCACCATTAAAGGGAGCCTTCTCGCTCTCACACTAGGGAAAGCAAATTGGAGTCCAGCGACATAGCCATTACCCCTACTGTTGGTCCCTATTTATTTATTTTTAATAATTATTTTATTTAACTTTATTTATTTAATTTTGAGCAGAGAGGGACAGAGTGAGTGAGGGAATGTGAGAAAGCAAGTCGGAGACTTGACCCATAGTCAGCAATATGGGAGTCCAGCAACACTAACCACTATGGCACCTGCTGGCCCCAGTAAAATAATTTTTGGCGGGGAAAGGCTTTTGCTATAGGGTCAAGTGTGCTTGCCAGAAAAACGGAGAGAGGTAGAGAGACTGAAAGTGAGAAATCACCCCTAAGGAGAGATGGCTATGCCGCAATCTCTTCTCTATTCTCCTCTCAGGATTTTGAGCACATACACCAAGTGTCCAGCGTGAGTTCAAGTCACTGGGGTCCAGGACTCAACTGTGGTTGACAATGTGGGAGTCCAGTATAATGTAGTCATCTGCTGGTCCCTAAAATAATTCTTAAAAATAACAAAATAGGGAACGACCAGTTAGCATAATGGCTATGTCACTGGACTCCCACATAGTTGACAGCGGTTCGCGTCCCAGACATGGTGGCTTAAAACTCACACCGGGCGTGTGTGCGTGCGTGCCCAAGATCCCGAGAGGAGAATGGAGGAGAAGGGATTGC